ACACATTCACACCTTAATTCTATAGAAAAGAGCTGACAACTGTTATTACCCCGAGGCTATTGTTGCGAGCTTTATGCATGGATAACACATTTCACCAGGCACAGTTTTGCAAAAAGAACAGGCACGCACACAGACGGATACATCACGAAATGTATCCTGTGCAAGGCCAAATGGTTTCATGGTCACATTTGGAGATGAATGCTGTCCATAAACATGGATTGTGTGCCTTGGCTGCAGTCCTGAAAATACTGATTGAACTTGTGTATTAAAAGGAAGAGTTGGAGCCTAAAGAATGACTACAGCAGAAAAACATTTTTTTCATTTATATTCCCCAACAAAAAGGGTTATATATGACTCACAAGGTCATTAGAGTGTGTTTTGAATTCAGTCATTCATGAGTCAAACTTTTTTCTGAGTCAGAATAATAAAATCTGAAAAACTGACTACTCGATACTGGTGGTGAAAATGTATTAACCCAGGCATGTCTTACACAACTTTATGAATGTATCTCATTGCACTTTAGAGCTAAACATTGAACTTTTATTTACAGTATGTTACAGCTGCAAATACTTTGTAAGTGACAAACTTAGCTGTACTACTACACTTTTTTTGTTTAGCCATAAAGCTAAATTCTAACAGGGATACTGTTGAACACATACGAAACAAGAAGACTCAGAGAGTGCAAACCTTAATCTCTGGCCAGTATCTACTTTTAATGGAATACTATTGTATTTTGCATAAATTCATTTTATTTTCTTTGTTTTTAAACATACTTTATGAAGTTTGGAGTGCAGTAAAAACAAGTGCAAAGTCCAGGTTTTTAATATTTGCTCAGTTGAAATCCATTTTTGATATACTTGACAAAATTTTGACTGCAATTTTGTTTTTAAATATGGATTCATTTGCTGTCCCTTGACAGTACAGGTGAATAAATTTGGCAATACACATTTTGGGGTCAACTTACAAGAAATGCAGATGTAAAATGTAAAAGTGAAATCAGAGGTCAAATATGACATGACATTTGGGTGCAAATTACAATGTAATATTTAATATTCCCATGTACCAGTATCATTTCCTACGTGTTGCCAGTACAAACAGAGGCAGTAGAATTTCAATCATAGTTTTAAAGATAAAACACATGAAAGTTTGACCTTATTTGACCTTGAACAGCTGACATGTTGAAGAAGATGTCAGCGGTTTAAAGTGGCGTGATATTTAGAATCCCTATATAGCTTTCCCTATATGGCCTAAATATCTTTCATGTCAATACATGCAATGGCAGTAAACATAGTTTTAATAAATAGCTTCATTATTATCACTTCAGATCAATCTATTGACCTTGAACGAAAGATTACATTTCAAATGTACGATGATATCTTACACAGTACTTTCTATATGTTGACAATACACACTAAACTTGTAGCAATCACAGTTATATGGCTTTTTTTTTTTAATTTCAACCAATAAATCATTAAGTTCACCTTTAAGGCCTTGGTGGATGCATCGTGTTTACAGACACTCACACAAACGCTACCAAAAAGACAACCTCCTTGGTGGATGTATTCATTTCAAGTAATGGAGACTTTTGTAAGTTAAGTGAAAAACTAATATCATACAAGGTTTAACGTTTCTGTAATATGCCAAAACCATATAGAGTATGTCCATATGGGTTGATAAGTAACCGCAAGTGTGTATCTAATGTATCTATTAGTATAAACTCTCTGCACCATACTCATATGGATTTGCTGTCTAATCAAAAACAGAGAGAAGCTCTCACTTGACCGCAAGCAAGAGAATGCCAAAGTAGTTGTCACAGAAAAAAAAATCAGTCAAATAAATCTTCATTTTTATGGTGGGCAAATATGGCTTAAAAACACTGTACTCTTTGTTGTTCCTTTGCATTTTTCATTTGTGCTATGAATACATTTGAGACGGTGCGGTAAATCTGGTTCTTTATTCCACATCAACGCTCTACAAAGTGTGCTATATTACTGCTCTCTGATATTGCTTATCCTGGGAGATCTGTCGTGTCCTGGGAGTTTGCTGTTTCCAAGGTCTACCAGCTAGCGTAACATAAAGGCCTAAGAAACACAGCAGAAAACACAGGGAAATTTTTTCAAATGGAGTTTATTAAGATAATTTTGACAAAACATATATTTCTCTGAGACAACACAGAAGTACACGGCATCAGTTGAATACTGTCTCAACAAATGGACTCATTTTAAACAGTAAAAGGCTGCCAACTCCAGAACAAAAATAACACTGCATCTTATACTTGATAAAATAAAAGCAGACGTTTTGACACATTGTTACAATTTCTGACTGTTTGGTAGGAATACAGGTAAGAATCCAATCGCATAAATGTAGCTGTAGTTCCTATTGTAACGACACACCCGCACACACACACAGAGCACGCATACTGTGTATATGCACACATATTTCATTAACTGTGTAGAGCATCTGTGGAAGTGAGAGCTTTTGTGAGAGGTAACGAAGGGATCTGCAGGGTTAACACTGAATTAACTGACAACCTGTCTGATTCTACTGTCAGTGCTTAGACAGTTACTGGGGCTGGTTTAACGCAGGTGCAGGATAGTTATTATAGAAAAAAAGTCTCATGCTGCAAACGCTTCCACAAATCTAATGAAAAAAAGTTTGTAATAATAGCTGCGTTTTGACTATTTTTGGTGCGAATGTATCCTGGTAACTGTCAGTGCTGAATATTTAACTGTGATGCTACTGTTTAGTGAGACATCCTGTCTTCAGAATCCAGAATGCACTTCCCCCTCACACCCAGTGAAGATAGTACAATGAATAAAACACAATGTCAGGATGTCAAGTTTGCAGAGATATCTTGTGTTTTTGGACAGCACGGGACCCTTAGGGTGAGGGCAAAAGTGTAACAGGGCTAAAATCAATAAACCATATGTACTGTGACGTGATGTGACACGCACTGTCTGTGATTACAGAATAAAAACCTATATGAGATTCAAAAACAATTGCTATACAGAATCAATGTGCATTTTATACGTGCCATGATTATGAATTGTCCCAGTAAATTAAATACATAAAAGAACAAGTCAGGTTAAAAAATCATTCAATGTAAGATTATCATACAAAACTTACAAAAAAAAGGATAAAAATGACATATAGACATTACATACAGGTTTACCTCATTATATTGCACAAATACTCAAGTGACAGCTTGTACTGGCCCTCTTTGTCTACAAAAAATATACAAAGAAAATCAGGCATGCACTGGAAAATGTACATGCAGACACACTGAGTAAGAGAGAAAATGTGGTTCTGCTACATTGCTCACATACAAAGAAAAGACATTTTACAATGTTGGTGGTTTGGAACATTTTTAAGATCATAATTATAGGTGAACAAATTCTTATAGCAAACCAGAAGGAGAAGGAGGATAAGCATTTCTCATTTGAA